AGGCAATAGTAGCTGAAGGAGATACCGTGCGTACTATAGTTAAGTTCTTGTCGCAAGAGCCGCCAAAGGGGAGGGAGGCAGCTGTTTCTTTGTTGTTTGAGCTCTCCAAATCGCAAACATTGTGCGAAAAGATTGGATCGATCCGTGGAGCGATCATCTTGTTGGTTGGTTTGACAAGCAGCAAATCAGAGGTTGTTTCAACCGTTGAGAAAGCTGATAAAACATTGACAAACTTGGAGAGATCGGAGGAAAATGTTCGACAGATGGCTACCAACGGTAGACTGCAACCTCTCCTAGCTAAACTTCTTGAAGGTGATTCACCAAAACCGCTGCTTTCTTTACCGGCTTGCTTAAGAAACTGATTTTCTCTGATTGTTTTGAATGAGAAAACACACAGAATCTTATAGCTATTTGGTTGTCTGAATGATATATGAAACATGATTCTGCAGGTTCACCTGAAACAAAATACTCTATGGCTTCTTATCTTGGGGAGCTTGCCTTAAACAACGATGTGAAAGTTGTCGTGGCTCAAACCGTTGGTTCTTCTCTTATCGAGCTTATGAGAAGTCGTGACATGCGCCAACGGGAAGCTGCTTTGGGAGCTCTCAACAAAATTTCATCTTTCGAAGGGAGTGCCAAAGTCTTAATCAGCTCAGGAATTCTCCCACCTCTTATCAGAGACCTGTTTTACGTTGGGCCAAACCAGCTTCCAATTCGGCTTAAAGAAGTCTCCGCCACTATTCTTGCCAATATAGTGAACATTGGCTATGATTTTGACAAAGTTCCTGTTGGAGCTCATCACCAAACTCTTGTTTCAGAGAACATAGTGGAAAACCTCCTCCAACTAATTAGTAACACTGGTCCAGAAATCCAAGGAAAGCTGTTGGAGGTTCTTGTTGGACTCACTAGCTGCCCGAACTCGGTTATAAATGTCGTTTCTGCGATCAGAAACTCAGGTGCAATCATTAGCTTGGTTCAGTTTGTTGAGGTTCATGAGAATGATGATTTGCGTTTAGCTTCTATCAAGCTACTTCATAACATTTCACCACACATGAGCGAAGAACTAGCCAATTCATTGCGTGGCACTGTTGGACAGCTCGAGAACCTTGTTGCGATCATTTCAGAGAATACAACAACAATCACTGAGGAGCAAGCTGCAGCTGCTGGACTTTTAGCTGAACTTCCTGAGAGAGATTTGGGTCTGACACAGAGATTGTTAAGAGAAGGTGCTTTTGAGAAAATCATCTCCAAGATAATCGGTATTCGCCAAGGAGAAATCAGGGGAATCCGGTTCGAGAGAACTTTTCTTGAAGGACTTGTTAGTATTCTTGCTCGGATCACCTTTGCACTCACCAAGGACATTCGGGCCACTTCGTTCTGCCGTGAGAACAATCTCGCTTCGATTTTCCTCGATCTACTTCAGTCTAACAGTCAAGATAAAATCCAAATATCTTCTGCAATAGCTTTGGAGAATCTTTCACTTGAATCCAAGAATCTAACAACCATACCTGAACTGCCTCCTCCAAACTATTGTGCATCGATCTTTTCATGTCTGAGCAAACCGCCGGTCATACTGGGGATTTGCAAGATCCATCAGGGAAAATGTTCATTGAGAGAAAGCTTTTGTCTTGTTGAAGGACAAGCAGTAGATAAATTGGTTGATCTCTTGGACCATGAAAATGAGAAGGTGGTTGGACCAGCACTTGCAGCTCTTTCTACATTGTTAGAAGACGGTTTAGAAGTTGAAAAAGGAGTGAGATTGATTGATGAAGCAGACGGGATTACGCCTATATTAAATGTTCTGTTGGAGAATCGTACTGAGACTTTAAGGATTAGAGCTGTGTGGATGGTCGAGAGGATCTTACGCATTGAAGAGATAGCTAGAGAAGTGGGAGAAGAACAGAACGTGACTGCAGCACTTGTGGACGCCTTTCAAAACGCAGATTTTAAGACGCGACAGATTGCAGAGAACGCATTGAAGCACATTGATAAGATCCCAAACTTCTCTGGTATATTCTCCAACATTGGTTAGGGTCTGTATGCATACTTGTAAATGATTTTAAAGATTATGTGATTCATTGTTGAACTCAGAGGAACTAGAGCTGTCTTTCAAAGTTGATAAACACTTCTCATTAAGGAACCAAAAAAAATTCTAATGGAGTATCTCAACATAAGGAGTATGGTTTTAAGCTTAGGAGGACCTGCTACATTTAACTTTTTTTTTCTAGATCTCGTCTATGAATTCAAGAAGATCTTCTATTTCTTGCCTTAAAGCTGTGATCTTCTGCTGTTGAGAAGCGATCCGGTTTTCGATATCACGCCCTGAGGATTTCTTTTCGTAACCTTCAACAACAGTGGTATGTTTGGCCATCAGCTTCTCTTGAAGTTCTTTCTCTTTAGCAATTAGCTCTTCGACCTGCAAAATGGAATAATAACAAACGAAGCCGTTAAGCAGAGCTGATGATACTAAAGAAAGATGATAGGCCAAGAGAAATTTGAAACCTTTGGAGATATCTGAGAGGCTGACGGGGAAGTCTGAAGAAAAGCCATCAATGGTTTCAGTTCTTTCGAAAGATCTTTCAGTAAACTGTCAGTGGATTTACGAGCTGCTTTGCAGGTTTGAAAGTCACCGGTTCTTGAGAGATCACGCAGTGATGCTTCAAGCTTATCATGTAAAGCTAAGCATTTTTGGATGATATTTTGAACCTCCTGAAGTGTTGCTAGGACCTGATGAACAAATGGAGCCGTTTAAATATTAGTAAATTGCGCGTCAATGTGCTTGAAGAAAAGGTTCCAATGTACCTCATCCCATTGGAGTTTTGCCAAATATGTAGCAGAGGACTTGGAGATTGAAAAGTCAGACCGCGTGTATATGATACAAGTGATAAACAAAACAAAAAATCCAGAGATTAACATCAATGGCTCACTCAGAAGATTGATGTTGCTGAACTTATAGTAGACCTGTACAGAAAACAAAACTCATGATCAATTAAAGTATGGATACTGCGACTTTAAAATTACAGCATTTCAGATGTATTATATACCTGGATATGCTGATTGTGATCTGGGACAACATTGTTCTTTTCGAGCACAACAACTGGTCTACCAACTATATCTAAGTGTGAATATTTGATCTGCAAAGAACAGCAAGCAAGCGAACAGGTTTGCAACCATGAAGAATTCAGATATCAGAATCAAAACACGCAGAAATAAAGGATAAATCATGACCAAACAAAGCCAAGACTCTGTTTACCTCTTGAGATTGCTTGACAGCGAATGGAGTGGTAACTGATATGTCCTTTGAACCCTCGGGTAAGACCACCTATAAGGAAGAAACAAACAAAAGAATATCAAGCAACAACTAGGAAACTTTTCATTTTATGTCATCTTCATTACAGAACATGAGAATCATATAGGTGTATCACTAGTCAACCTAGTCACAATTAAAGGTTGTGATTTCCCTCCACATCATTTCTAAGCTAAAGAAAATTAAACTAAGGCAAAACACTTCTAAGTTGAAAGTGAATAATACAGACCTGTACGATAAGTTTTTCAGTGACAAGGTCAATCATAGGGGAGCCAAAGGAGATGTTGAGGAAGCGCTTCCCTTCCGAGGCAAACAAGAAGTCGCTAAGTGGCAAACCATAACCTATCGTGAAAAACGTTCGCCACCCACCAAACAACGGAAACCTAGGCTCAATTAGTAGCTCTGTCTGCAACCAAACCAGCAGAAACAAAAATCAAAACACAAACAGCAGTGATATATGGAGATCAAATCATTCTAATCCACTATATCAACCTTTTTTGAATCACTCTGCATCTGAGAAGTAGAGATATTGCCGATATCATCCCTGTAATATATGGAATGGGCTCTGGGTGGTAATCTGGCAAGTAAATGCCTAAAGGCAGATACTCCGCTAGGAGGTCTGCCTTGAAAATCTAACCTGCGGTTGGAATACGAAGAGCATTTAGGAACCAAACCGTGGGTTCAAATGGCGAATTAAACACAGATTAGCGCATTAGTAAGAGTACTAACCTTGAAAACTCGCCCTTGAGTTGAGCCCCTCGGTGAACAATATTGTAATGCTCTGTCACCTGCACGTTTCCCCAATGAGACACTTCTATTTCCCGCACGAGCTTCTCGGCCACAGCAAATGCAGCCTTGCTTTCAAAGTGGACAACTATCGGAGAGTATGAATACTGTGGTAAATTCTTGTACGGGCCATATTTGATCTCTGAGCCCTGGAGCTTTGTATTATCCAGATTGGTGTAAGATTCGATTCTAGCATTGGGTAGTTTAATAGACAATGACTGCGATTCAACCGCATAAGGAGAGAGATACTGTGCGCTTTCTTGGAGCATAACAAGATGGATATCACCCTGACTTATCTTCTCTGGAAATGGCTGAAGTACATTGGTAAATGCAGCAACTACCTCCAATGTCAAAGTATCGCCTTTATTGAGTGCTTTAGGTAATGCAACTGAGTAAACACTGATCGAATCGGGAATTCCTTTTGGATTAGTTGCTTCAACAGAGAGATTGACCAAATTGCGTTTAGATTTCCCTTTTCCCTCGCTATGTGCAACCGATAAATACGCCAAGTTGTTACCAAGAAACTTTGGGAAGGTCAAAGTAAACTCAGAAACTGATTCAGAGCCAGAATTCACAACCTAAACACACACAAAAATTGTAAACAGGACTTAGCTACCCCCAAAACACAACATATGGAATCTGTCTCATTATAAAGTTTGGAAATTTAACCTTAAGTGTCTTAGTAACACGAGCAATCTGTGAAGTCACATCGATCTGCACACATAAACAACAACAAAAAATGGATAACGAAATCTGAAATGGAAGCTACATAGAGATCCCAACGAGATCATAAGAAACCCAGAAAAAATGAATACGAAAGGTTTAATCTTCTGAACTCATTCGAAGTGTTAAGCACAGATCAACAAAACCAGATCGGAGAAATTCTGGGGAGTGATTGACAGACTTACACGACGTTCGACTTTGGATAAAACCAGATCGGAGAAAGCCGGCGACGCGAGAACGGCGATCGCGAGCAGAAGAAGCAACAGATCGACGACACTTGATTGCTTCATCGTTGACAGATTATTCGAACCAGTCTCAAGACTCACTTGCTCACTCACAGAACCAAGACCTCAGATTTTGACCATTATTCAGAAACCAATTTTCCCGGGTCGGGTTAACCCGCTTAAATAGACTGATTTTATACTCTTATAGCCCATATATATCGGGCCTGTATGTGGGCTTAAGGGATTAGATTGGCTTTATTGACACATGGCAGATATTTATTGGTTGGATTATGGTGAACCTTGTTGCAGAGGATCATACAGTAGTCAGAATGTTAGAAACTAGGTAGGATTTTGGTTTTTCCGCTCTGCTTCTGGTTTGGTAGTGATTTTCTCGGCGATTTTCTCGAGAAAAAATGGAGACTTCTCTAAGGTATACCTGCAATTCCAAGTCTTTGAAAATCCATGCGAAGGAGAAGCTTCCAGTGAACTCGAAAACCCATTTGCAGGTGAGAATTTCTTCCTTTTTCTGTGTCTTACTTCGTATTCGTGCTGCTATGGAGGATTTGAGCTCTATTTGGTGGTGTAATGCTCTCTGA